CTGAACCCCAGCGCCTTTAATGATCAGGCAGGCGCTTGCAGGCTGCAGGATGGCGGGCCACTCGCCCAGCATGACCCGCATCCTCCCTCAGCCTCTGTTACGGCCCTCGTGGCCGGGGGCCCCGTCAGGAGTTCAGCTTTTCCTTGAAGCAAGGGAGATGGTTCAGTCCCTCTCTCTCAAACTTCAATGTCCCGTCTCTGTCTGTCAATAAGGGAAACCTTTGGACAAGTTGGCTGTTCAGTTTTTAGGAGCGAAGGAGCCTTCCTGAACTGGGAGGAAGGATTCTCGTGCCAGGACAGGAAGGCCTTGCCTTTCACCTCTGAGCTGTGGAAGGGGACTTTCGGGCCATGGACGCTTGGCGTCTTTTGCCTCTGTGACGGCTCCTGTCTTCAAGGACCTCTTTTTTTAATGCTCAATTACTAAATCCCAAGGCTGGTGGCAAACATTATAAATCATGACACTGGCAATCACAAAGAAGCAAAGAGAAGATTCCTAAAGAGTAGATGATGTCCTTCGATTTTCTGAGGAATAAGGGGCCCTGTTCTATTCCAGTGCTTCACGGGGAGTTATCTTGGCCCTGAGTGGGGTTTCCAGGCAGGAGGAGGTTACCTCCCCGGCTCTCCGCCTCTCTGTCTAGTGTTTCGTGTTGTGGCTTGTCCTTTCCATCTTCGCAATGAGGAATTTGAGGCGTTGGTGGGCTTGGTCAGTCTCAAGGAGCGAGTGGAATTTGAAACTGTTGTTCAACTGCGTAGGAAGACAGAGTCTCTGTTAATCTTCAGTTTTACATTCCTCCTGGGCCTGAGACCAGAAGATACTGTAGACGCCCGCAGGCAGGAAGCCCACTGAGATTTCAGAGTGCCAGTCACGTAGGCAGTTCGGCCTGGCACTCCCCTCGCCTGGTGGTCCCGGTGCAGAAAATTTGGACGCGATGCCCTGCGGGGACCATTCTGCTTCCTGCTCTTAAGGTGCTTGGGATGCAGCACACAAACCATCGTCAGTCAGGGTCTTACCTGTGGGCTCCCAGCTCGTACACAAGACATTTTTTTTCACCCGGAGGAGAGAAGGGAGTGTGGGAGGAATCAGTGAGCTTCTCAGAAGTCTATCCGGCCAAGATGTTTGGAGGAAGAGCCTTTTCTCTGAGGGCAGATCTATACCAATTCTGGTGCAGGTACCTATTCCGAGTCTTAAAAAGAAAGCCAGGACTTAACAACTAGAAAACTCAACGGAGCCCTGTTAGAAATTAGTGCAGTGAGTGGAACTGAGCTGGTAGATGAAGCCCCGGCCAACTGGGGCCTGGGATTTGGGTACCTTTGTTCTTCAGCTCCACGTCTAGTTTTGTTCAGTGATAATCCAATAGCAGTTCTGCATGCTGATTGGCTGGAGGAGGTTTTCTTCTCCTACAATGAGAAGATAATCAATCATGTTACTGGCTTTTGTCTTGGTGAAGGTATTTAGATTTGAGCCAGCTGGTTAGCTGCCTCGCGGCCACCTGCTTGACTGAAAAATAAAGAATCAGTCTCTTTCCCTTTGCAAGAAGGGGGAAGTATTGACTTGCGCGATAATTTTAGGTAGATGATTAAATTTGGCCTCTTCGGCTCCATCTGAGAATTCAATTCAGATGACTGGTTTTTCTTTTCATACACTGTTGAGCAATCCCGGGTGCTGCTATGGCTAATGTCCCTGATGCTGACTGTCCCTTCCCTGTAACAAAGCACAGGATCCCCAGACCCCTCTCCCTTTCCCGTGCCCCCCAGCTACAGGGACATAATGAGGAAATGAAGGCCTTCTGCCGCTGCGAGGGACGCTGCCCTTACACAGCCACGCTCCGAGGCCCCCTCAAGTGACCGCATTGCTTTGTGAGAGAGCCAGGACAGGGGTGATTTCTCTGATGGCCGCTGATAAACTACGCCGGGTTCCCCGGGTGCATTTCACACGTACAGTGCGGTCTGTCAGTCTTCCCGTGCCGCTCGGCTGGCATGTCAGACTCTCGGGTGCCGAGGCAGCGAACAGGTTCCGTGTGTGGGAGCCAGCCCCAAACCGGACCGTCATTTTGGACTCCCTCATTCCCCACATCCAGTCGGTCCGCAAATTCTGCCATGATAGCCCCAGGGCATTTCTCCTAACTTCCTACTTCTCTCCATTTGTACCAGTTACCCCCCGCCCTCCCGGAAAAGTTGCCATCTTCTGCCCCCTGGGCCACCGCAGTCACCTACTCAGTGGCCTTTCCGCTGCCAGTTTCGCCTCCTGGAAACAGTTCTGTGCACACTAGCGAGAGCACTCTTTTCAAAAATCAAGTAGGTCACAGAACTCCCTTTGTTAAAAACTTCCCGTGGCTGCCCATAATTCTTAGGCTAGAAGGAAGCTCTCCTATCGCATCCTCGGCACCTTAAGAGATCTGGCCTCTGCTCAGCTCCCTCCTCCCTCGTGTCTTTCCTCCTCCCCCACCCCTCGCCAAGCCCTTGCCACGTCTGGACAACTTCAAGTTCCCTTTCATCTGAGGGCCTTTGAAGTAGGTATTTCCTGTGCCTGGGACGTTCTCCCCCAGCCGTGGTCCTCCCAGGATGTCATCATTTTATTCTGTTTTCAGCACCCACGTCAACTTCTCAGAGAGTCTTTCTTGGCTATGCAAACTCCAGTAGTCTAGACCTTCTGGATTGTATTATCCTGTTTTGTGTTTGAAAAAGCATGAACCACTGCCATGCATTTTTTCTTGTTTATTTGTTTATTGCCTGGATCCTTTACTAGAATGTAAGATCGATTACAAGAGGGACTTTGTCTGTTGTGTTTGGGGTATGCCCAGTGCCTAGAATAGTGCCTTGTAAGTGCTTATCTAGGAAATGAGTAAGTAAAGCCTGGTGAGGAGATTTTCCTAAGGGACCCAGGAACAGGATGTTTTAAGTGTGGTTCTATCCAGAGTGAGGGGATGAGGCTGCATGGCTTATCGCAGGTTTATTTTTGACCCATATTCCAAGCTTCTAAGTTATCAGATGTTTTCTGAGGCCTCATGTCTGTGGTGTTAAGTGGATTCAAACAATGACAACCTCTTATCTTGAGCAGGTAAGAGACTGACCTCATTCTCAGCTGATCTGATCAGCTGAAAAGCAAAATGTGCTGTTAATTTTAGGACGTGTCGTATGTGACATTTTTGTCTTGCTAAAGGTTAGAGTCCAGTAGGAGAATTGGAGAGCTTGCTAAGTGTTGCATCTTTTGTTCCATTTGGAAATTAGTTGGCGCTGGGGGCAGTCCACGTGCTCACCCTGATTTGGGGTCTAGATCTTATTTTTCCAGGAAGGGCTGGTGTCTGTGCCCTGTCTCAGCGTCTGAAATATTGTATTCATGCATAAACAAAGGGCAGGCATGATTCACACAGGATGAGTCCCTGAACCTCCCAGACGGGAGAAAAATGTGGAGTCGTGATACTTAGGCCATTGCTCAGCCTCAGTTGTCAGGGCTGGGACGCACTTCAGCACATTTCTGCGATGAACTCTTGCTAAGGCTAGGTCAGTGACACCATAAAAAAGAATTTTGTAATTAGAAAGGCTTAAAGGGATCACTGGCGAGATGGCCTTTTTTTCTTTCCTTCTTTTAAAAACCAAGTCACTTAAAGAAGTAAACCTCACAGAAGTACTTCTTACATGGGTTTTGCCCATCAGTCAAAGCGAAGGGAGCCAGACTGAGAGGAGACGCCGTTGAAACTGTAAGGGGCGGGCTTAGAGCTCAGCCTTTGCTTGGAAAGCCATTTTTCATGCGATGAATGCATCTATATGGTGACTTCACTGGTCCTTCAAATTTGATTGTTTCCAGAGAGAGATAACAGGATTAGAAGCAAGATATAAGTGGAACAGCCCATTGAGAAAGCCCTACCTTATATGACCAGCCATAAACCTCCCTGTTTTCATTTAGCAGATGGAGACTAGTAATCTAAAACATTTTGACGGCCCTGACCAGTGCGGCTCAGTTGGTTGAGCATTGTCCCGTAAGGCGGAAGGTTTGATTGCCGGTCAGGGCACACACCTGGGTTGCTCGTTGGGCCCTGCCTGGGTCAGACCTCATCCAAGAGGCAACCGATAGATGTTTCTCTCTCACATTAATGTTTCTCTCCCTCTCTTCCTTCCCCCTCTCTAAAAATAAATAAGGAAAATCTAAAAAAAGAGGAGAGCCCCTTACTTCAATGTCTACCCCTCTTGCTATCTCTTGCTCCTCTCTTTGGAGTGACCTCAGCATTAAAAACAAATATGATGATGAAAGAAAATAACCACCTCCACCAAATCGCATGACATCTAGTGTACATTTTACTGCCTCTGACCCATCAGAGCCCCAGAAATTAGATCTTACTGGCGGTTTAATAAATTAGCCGAAATATGCCAAATCAGAGGCAACAAAATGAATGGAGGAGGAGCAAGTGTCAGAGCATCTGGTCCCCTAGGTGTTCCAAAGGGAAGCGCTGACTTTCATGAGCCACCCTACAACACAGAGCGGCCAGAGGGGTTGACTTGACGGCAGCCCCTCTCTTGATCGGAAGGCAGTGAGGGTCCATAATGAGAGATTATCCCAGGGCAGGAGTTTTAAACAAGAAGCCTGACAGGTTCCTTCTGATAGTTGTTTGGAATTACTAGGACCACACATAGGACTACTTCGTCCTTTTCCTAACAAAGAAACTGAGATCTGAAAGGGTTAAACGATACACCATGCGCCACACAGGAAGTTCATGACTAAATGAGGGTTAGTACCCAAGTGTGGTGATGCATAGCCTTTCTAGACAGAATGGAAAATTAGAAAAACATCATTTTCCCCAGTTTTATTGAGAAATAATTGACATACATCATGGTGTAAGTTTAAGGCATACAGCATGATGGTTTCATTTACATATGTTGTGAAATAATTATCGCGGTAGGTTCAGCTAACATCTGTCACCTCATATAGATACAACATAAAGAAAAGAAACTAAGAAAGAAAAAAAGAAAAACAATTTTCTCCTTATGATGAGAACCCTTAGGATTTAAAAATGATGGTTCGATGCTTCAAAGTAGGTGGCAATTCCTTAATCATCTGCGCGTTGCCAGGCCTGTGGGCCTCTTCCCATCCGCGTCAAAGGGTGTGCTCACTGTTTCTCTTTTCATACAACATAAAATTATTATTTTTAATGACTATTGTCTCAAGTGCTGTCTTTTGGCCGTGAGGTCACCTGTGTCCTGAAAGAGCTACGGTGTCTGAGTTTGAACACAGGATCTTCTACTCTTAGCTCCTCTGCTCTTGGGTAAAATATTGGACCAACCTGAGTTCCTGCTCCCCATCTTTGGAAAATGTAAATGCAAGCAGTGGTGGGCTTTACAGACAATCTATGCAGAGCCTGGTGTATGGTAAACATTTGACAAATGGTAGTTATCATTATTGTGTTGGAGGAAAGAATGTTTACCGGTCGAGAGAGTGGGCACTGGAGTCAGAGTGAAGGGCTTCGAATCCAGCCTCCCCTGCTTCCTAGTCCTGGAACCTCAGTAGCTTTGTAAGCCTTGGGTCCTTCCTTTTTAAAATGAGGAAACCAGAAATACTTACTTTGTAGAGATAGTCAGCAGATTTAATGATATAATTCATGTAATGTGTTTAACAGTTCATTGAATGTTGAAAAGTTTGATCAACACTGGCCATTATTATAATTATTTAAAATTTTGCCATAGAAGTTATAGGGCCAGAGTCACACTTCTTCTATAAAGGGTCAAATAAGTAATATCTTTAGCTTTGATGACGCAAAGGTCTCTGTTGTAACTACTCAACTCTGTCATTGAAGCAGGAAAGCAGCAATAGATGATTGTAAATGAATGAGCATGGCTGTCCCCAATAAAACTTTATTTACAAAAACAGGCTGTGGGCCAGGCTTGGCCTGTGGCTCCCAGTTTGCCTGCCCCTGCTGTGCGGCAGTGGAGAGCGCCCGCTCTGTGGTTCTGGAAGGCGTCCTGCCTTAGAGATAAGAGGACAGGTGTCTTTTTTCGTGGAAAGAAGAACTAAATAAGTCACCTTTAGGTACATGTATCGAGACAATTTATTTTCTACCCACTGATGTAGGGTCAGACTGCAGAAAAGAAGCATCTTGGGCAGCCATAATAGTTAAGGCATGAACACCCGTAAATAGACACTCAGTTGCTTCACGCAAAGCGCAGTGATTGACAACAGCAGTCAGGTGGTTGTGGGGGAGGCTCCAGGGCTTCGTCAGCTGATGCGGCTTAAGCGTTCCCCACAGAGCACACACGCAGGGAAGCTGCTTGTGGGAAGAAGGACCAGGACCTGGCGGCCTCAGCAAAGCCCAGGACCGATTTTCCCCGGTTACAGTCAGGGTCGGCGGCAGTTCAAAAGCACCACAACATGTAGTAGAAAAGGATAGTCTCTCTCCTATTGCTGATGGTAAATCACCATACCGTCTTAGAACCCGCATAGCCAGATATTGATAATGAACTTTCCCAGCATCCTCTTTCTTGTCCAGCTTTGGCTCTCGGAGGGGTCATTGAAGCTGCCATCTTTAATCCATATTCTGAGGACTTGGAAGGACAGTACCTTGCCAGTTGTCAATGATGGAAATGTTTGTATTGTTTTAATTAGGCAGTGTTTCTACAGGTATTAGAGTATATTTATTTTCTTGGGCATGACCTTATTTTGTTCTAGTTAGATAATAGGGTTAACTTTCCTTCAAAATGAACTCATTTAATAATCCATTTCTTCAGTGTGCTACTTTCTGATTCCTGAGCTTACATTTAATTATCCATTAATTTTGTGTTAGTAGAGGATGAATTGATACACTAGCTTTTAATAGGATTTACTTCAAAAATTTTCAATTACAGTTGAAATTCAGTAGTATTTTATTTAAATTTTAGGTATACAGCATAGCGGTTAGATATTTAAATAATTTATGAAGTGATTTCCCCCAATAATTCTAGTACCTACCTAACACCAAACCTAGTTATTACAGTTTTATTGACTGTATTCCCTATGTGGAGCTTCTCACCCCCATGACTGTTCTGTAACTACAATCTGTACTTCTCAGTCCCTTCACCTTTGTCACCCAGTTCCCTAACCCCCCTCCAACATGGCAACCGTCAATCTGTTCTCTGTGGCTATGAGTCTGTTTCTGTTTCGTTTGTTCATTTATTTTGATCTTTAGATTGTACGTGTCAGTGAACGAAGGCATTTACTCTTTAAACAAGAGCCTGCGAGATGCAGTTTTTTCATCCAAAGTGATGACTCTTCTATCAGGTATTTGGTGTGCGGAGGGGTGCTCTGACGATGCTGGTGGTGGGGAGAGGGGCTGGAGGGCAGTGTCTAACCCCCGAGCCCTCACCCCAACAGCTGGCTGCCCAGCTCTGGATAAACCTGAGTGCCCCTGGTAGACGGGGGGCCTGGCAAAGAGGAGGCAGAGTGGGAGTTCAGTGAAAATGCTGCACGAAGAGTTTCCTCAGTCATGTTAGCTGTATCCAAAAAGTCCCAAGGATTAAGCATCAACATATAGTCTATTTGATTTGGCCAAAAACTTGGCTTGGATGGTCTTGAAGAGTAATTTCAGTGGTGTGGAAGGTGCTGTATTTTTGGTGTCTAAGGAGAGAGTGGGTGGTGAGGTAAGGAAGATTCAGCTGTTGGAGAAAGGATGAAAATAAAGCAGTATTTGCAGACAGTAAGTAGCAAAGCTGGGGCATAGCCACTCTCACGGTGAAACAGAGCGTGAGGAGAAGTGATGCTTCTTGCCAGGGCACTGCAGTGCCTGGAAGAGGAGGGGCTGGAACCCACGCCACCTGACATCGAGCCGCGGGAGGGTTTTCCATGGAAGAGGCACAAGAGCACATTTGATGATAGAGGCAAAGACCAGGGAGGCTGGTGGAGGATGCTGATAAGGCAACTAGCCTTTGAGATGGAGACGTTTCTTCTCTTAAGGCTGCAAGGGACGAGCAGGAAGTAGGTAACGTGTTGAGGGAGGCAGAGCAGGGGAGGACCACTACTCTCCTCTGGAAAGTCCGTGTTGATGATAAACGAAAAACCTCTCTCTACACATGCACATACGCACATGGAGCCTGCTGACACATGATAGGGAATGGGGGAAATTTAGTAATTCTTCCTTGGGCTGATCCTTTTCAAGAAGTTAACATTCAAGTGATAGCTATGAGTGGCTAACGTGGATGTAGATAGAGAGAGAAAATTGTTTCCATTTTCCTGTTTAAGTTCCAGAGTTTCTAGGACTATTTTGATGCAATTCTTTGCCTACAAAGTATAGATTATGGCGGAGCTCGATTTCACAGAGACATGAGATCACTCTGTTCTCTCCTTGGCTCCCTCCCTTTCTCTCTCTTAACGAACTGATTTCTAAATGTTGAGTATATCCCAAGACGAGGGTCTATAAAGTGGCCTTAATGATTTTACCAGAACTAACCGCTAGCCATTACAAGATATACATTTAAAAAAGGACAATTAGAAACAATACAAAATCTGCCAACTCTATGTCCCAGTCATGTTTGAGAGCTCGGTGGACCGCATGTGCATTTCGTTAATTTTCTCCCAGTGTTATTTTGGTTTAGCCTGTTAGGAAATGCTAGGGGAAGAATAATGGGCATTTTACGATCACCACGCACACACAAAAAGACCTAGAATCCTTTAGTTTCACGTTTATTGTGATACCAAGTCTTCGTTCCTGCTCTGAATGCTATTCCCAACTGGAGTTCAGGACTGAGAGCTAGAGCTAAAATGATTCTCTTCTTGGGTTTGTAATCTCAGGAAAAACCAGAGATCCTAGAAATGAGCAGTCAGTTCATGTTTATCTGAAGTTCAAACATCCAGAGAGCTCACATCGGCAGAGGGAATTTCAAAAAAGTGCTGGCTAGCGAAGAGCAACTTTTCTAATTGCCACCCAAGGCTTGGAGGTGCTGTCTGGATTATCAAAGGGAGATTCCTTTTTGTTCTGTCTTAGTATTCAATTTCTTTCATTTGATTTTCTAATTGGCTGAAAACAGAGCACAGGCTTTTGAGCCTTAGCCAGAATCCTTGATTCCCAGCGACACTGAAGTTCTAGCCACTTTGTTTGAACAGGGACAAAGGGAAAGAAAGTCCTGCCATGTTCTTTATCCTGCACAGGCTACAGGGATGAGGAGACAGTCCCCTCTTTAAGGCGAAGCTGCTTGTTGTGACAGGGGAGAGGAAAGGTCTTGCCTACCTGCCTATCTGCCTAACCACCTGAGTTCAAGTGCAGACGCAATAATACCCACCTCAGGGTTTCATTCTAACACCTGGCCGCCCAGAGACGCTGCCCGCAGTCCTGCTTCCCTGCTCTCATTACCCGGGGGAGGTCGGTGGGAGGCCCTGCCCCACCTGCTTGAATGGCCGGGGGGAATGCGCCTCATTTTTCATCCCAGACACAGGCCGCCCTTCTGCCAGTGCCGAGTTCCCGCCCTCACCTCTGGACACTTCGGCATGTTCACTGGAAACATCATCACGGAGAACTCGGTTTTGACAGCAGCCTCTCTGAAATTATTTATTTCTCCTGTTCTGGCTTGCACTCGAATAATTCTCCATCAACAGCACATCTGATTGAGTTGGCATCACAAACTCTTTTGTATGCTATATGTTTTTTTTCTTCAAGAAATATTGAAGTCTGAATCACATTGGAAGAGCTGCCTGGTAATGATCTCATTATATATAAATACAGCCGCTCTGGCAGGGGCGATAATGACTCCAGGACTCAGGTATGCGGCGCGGGCCTATTATCCTCCGAGGAGTGGCCCCCACTCCCCCATCTCCCGGCTGCCCCACAACGTCGCTTTCGGTGTCAGGTTCAAGCTGCAGAAAACGGATGGCTGATTGGAGCTGGGAACCGGAGCTTTTCCTGCTCCCCTCCCTGACCTGTGTTCGGAGATGAAAGGCACCCGGGCCACGTGTTTACTCTTCATCCAGGAGTTTCTCGCGTTCCGATTGATCGGAGAGACCAAACGGCAGAAGGAGAGACATTTGGTGCTGGCTGAAAACCACAGCCACTCTTGATGTGAAGTGTCCCCGTTTGGTGAGGATAACTGTGACGAAGCAGTTCTGGGTATAGATGCTACTAAGATATTTTTTACAATAACAGGCCCGCCACCCAGTTTGAGTTCTTATACAGCAAA